GCAACATACCGGTCCTATAGCTCTGAGTTTTAGGGCCGCTATATTGACGATTGTATTGGTGCTACCTCGTTCTCGTGATGATTTACGTTTTATTTCTTACGTCAATTCCTTTCATCCTGCCTTAGAATTCACTTCTAAAACCAGTGACACGTCAGTTTTCTTTACATTCAAGTCCGTATTACTGACATTCATCTCAGCACTACTGTACGTGCATTAAAAGCCTGCTGATTCTCACTCTTATCTCCTCTATTCGTCTTCTCACCCTACGTATACTCTTAATGCCATTCCTTCTCTCAATTTCTACGTCTTCATCGCTTGTGTAGCGATGATGATGACTTTTTAAACAAGGCATGGAGATGCGTTCCTTTTTTCTTAATCGTAACTATCCTCCACATGTCATTGATCAAGCTCTGCTTAAAGTCCCTCGCATTGATCGTAACACTGCTCTCACACCTAAGGTTCGTGCTCCTAATGACCGTATTCCTTTCACTCTTACGTATCATCCTATTAACAGTTCTATTAAGCCTATTATTAATCGTAATTACTTTCTACTCACTTCTCGGAAACTAACACTTCTCACAACTTTGTTTTCGTTCAGATAATTTTAATATCTTTTTTTCTCCTTTTTAGCACCTCTTCTGTTCCTTCATCTGACATCTCTTATACATTAATTGTTTTTCCCGTTACCATGTCAACCTTGCTCCTATTGGTCAACGTTTTTTCCTCCTTTCATAATATAACCTAACACTTAGCCCAGTTTTATTTCTTTACTCCTGACGAAGAATTATACGTCCGAAACGTCAGTAAGTTGTTTTATCTACTTTTTTACTGTTAAATTTCATCTTTTTTCACAACTGTTCACTATACAGCGAAATGTGTGGTGAGGTTGAGATCAAAGGTGAAAATTTTTTATGTCTTTAAACAGCTGTACCTTCACGAATTTCAAAGGGCAGATTTTGTCAAACCAAGTGGCAACACTGAATTTCAAGGTGCTTTTTTCAGAGATACGATAATTAATAATTGATTTATAATTTAAATAATGCGATAATTATTTCTAAGTAATACGGAATATTCCTGAGCTGCCATGAAATGATTTTAGTGAATTGCTCGATTGAAAACAAACAAATTGGTTTTCATTGAAATGGTCGGTCTTTTTTGCATTTACATTGAGGAGTACTTTTCATTAAATCATGAAACAAAGCCGTGTAATAATGTGATACTGGCCAAATTAAAAAAGTAGCAAAAAATACACCAAAGAAAAACATGTACAATTAAGAGTAGTAATGTGTGTTTCACGGTTTAGAGCGATCTCAAACGCCCGTGAAATACAGCTTAGCGTACTAGTGCTTTATTACTCTTTATTTTGCATTCGCTGTACCATACATTATAACACTTTGACCATTACATTTTGTTTCACGGTTTTATGGCTGTTTGTTAATATGGCATTATGGTTTTTGATGTAAAAAAAAAATCAATTAAAAATGTGTTGTTTGATGCCCCTTTGATGCTGGTGACGTTGAGTTAGCTCAAAATAGCCCGCCATCATATTCAAAACTTTTAACTACCTTCTATAGCAAATATAATACGTCTCTGACAGGCATAAATTAAGGCTAGTATGAATAAGCTAAATAATGGTAAAAGTTATATTGTCAAACTCCAACATGAAACGTA